CAGTTCGATAGTGACAGACTGCTACTACAGACTGGTAACACTTCCGTGCACTTCACAGCTATGTTTTAAAACTGACAGGATAAGGACACTACATTAGGCAGCATAACCTTCACATTAAAGTGATGTCATAACTGCTTATCTTGAGGCAAGGTGCAGATTTCTTGAACTGTATAAACAGCACCACCTGAAAGCACTGTCCATCAGCAACTGAGATTTCAGGATTCTGCCCAAAAAAGCCAACAGATACTGATGCTTCTGCTATCACATGCACCTAATACACATAAAAGCAATACTTTTAATTTGGATGTTGCAGCACATTTCCAGCATGATACAAGTGGAAAGATACACATGTACGTATGCTTCTATGTAAATACATATAAATACACACACATACATACGTGTGTGCTTGCACATGTGTGTGAGATTCTGGTTTTGTCAGCTTTCCGGTAGACTGGAAAAATCCTTTGAAGAATACGCTACGTGTAGTGCAGGTATGTGTCCACAGAAGCTGTGAAGGCAGCCCGACTCGACAGGAAGAAGGCAAACTGGTTTCAACACCACCACCGCACAGTCATCGACGTCAGAATACAGGGTCTCCTCCGGACACAGCAGCAGAGAACGTGCCAGAAGACAACCATGACACTGACACCAAAAGAGCAGAGCCAACTGCCACATATTACTAACACCGAGCAGAAAGGGCCGGTGTGTATATGGCTTGTACAGACATACAGTAACGACCAAATAATTTGTTTGTACGCATCCATGCTCGGTCTCTCGCAATTCCTCTTTCCTCCTACAGTGAAAAAAGTACTAGACTGAATACCACTAGAAGAACTCCGTCCCTCCCTCTAGAGGAGTGGCTGACTGGCCAGAGGATGTACAAAGAAGAGAATTGTGCTGTTTAGTGATGAATAACATCTTCCAGAATAAAAAGATGTGGTAGCCATTGAAGCACTAACTCTAGCAGACGGCTATGAGAATACGTTTTAGGAAAAACAATGCTTTCTAGGAGGCATATATAAACAGAAACCCTTCCTCTCAGAGTTCTCTGCTCATTTTTCTAAAGCGGTCTCACGAGCTCTCTGCTTACAATAAAAAAAGAATTTGCCAGCTGAGCTGCTGATGGAAAGGACGGGGGCAGCGAGAAGAGCTGCTGGTCTGGGCTGTTCTACCCATTAGGGGAAGCTCCAACAAATACTGCTGGGTAAAAAATGTCCAAGCTTCCACACACCAGACAGAGTATGGTGTCTGTACGGATAAATGCTGAAAGAGCACAAGGTTTTCTAGGACAAGCATCGTGTCAGTGTCCCAGGTAAAATGTTAATGATGTTTTACAATAAGGAATTCATTAAAAGCATTTACCATTATGGAGATTATTATCCAAATGCAGAACATGTTTTATTAAACCAGGCAAAAATATCAGAGAGCAATAATTCACCCTGCTGCCTGCAGCAAGGTCACAGATCATATACAGAAGCAACTGAGCTATGATAGTTGCCAAAAGGAGCAATAAAACTGGACTGACACACCAAATATCCATTAAAACATCAGTATATAAGCTAAAATATTTTTCTTAAAGCAGTTTTCAGAAGTAAAATGTCAGCATATAGTAAGGAAAACACTTTCCTTTAAGTCAATATGTCTTTATTATCAATTACACTATGGTGTACGACTGTGTTCCTTGGACCAACTCCTTTACTACAGCCCTGAATGATAAGCAATTATTAATAACATTGGGTATGATGCAGAAATGCTATTTGATTGTAATACTAAAAGCCAGCGGCTCTCACTGACAACAGAAATTTACTCTGACAGTTTTGCACTCTACATTGGTACTTCGGGATATTTTTAACCCCAGAACAGAGATAGTCCCCAAACAACATGAGAGACTGATACTTCTTTCTTAGCACTGCACCTTCTGTTATTATATTTTGCCTAAAATGTCCTGTTTACTATGGAAATTGTCACTGGCCAAAGCTAAACAGTAATAGCTGCCTGCTTTGCTGCCAC